TATTTTTAAGTTAGCATACAAAGTCGTGTTATCATTTTCATACATACATGTCATTCTCAATTCTGTCTGTTCTTATCCTTTCTCCAAATAGTGCCCCCTTCTGCCTTCATGTCTGAACTAATACAGCTGCCATAGACAGTCTGGTAGCTTCTCACAAAACTAGAAATAGAATTGCCAAATAACCCAGCTCACGTGGAGCTTTAAAAAGAAGAGCTTTGGTAATCTTCTGCTTGTCACCAAAATGGGGACATCTCATTTTCCATTCATTATCCAGTTTTGTGTAAAACAACGTGCTTTATACCAGGGTTAAAAACGATTTGGCAAACTTCTCTCTGTTATTTTCAGGAGTTTTATTTCAGAATTTGTCTCATCTTCTAGTGGCTTGTATCTAGGTATCCAATAGTATCTGTTAACAGTACCTTTTTTGGAGACTGTGGCTCAAGTAGTCCGGGCTGACCTTGAACTCACTATGTAAGCAAAGATGACTTTGAACTCCTGACCCTCCTTCCTCTACCTCTCAAGTGCTTGGTTACGGGCATATATCACCAAGTCCAGTTTTATGTGGTACTAAGAACCGAGCCTCGGGCTTCAAGCATGTTAAGAAAGCATGCTACCGGGCCGGGCGGTGGTGGCGCACGCCTTTAATCCCAGCACTCGGGAGGCAGAGCCAGGCGGATCTCTGTGAGTTCGAGGCCAGCCTGGACTACCAAGTGAGTTCCAGGAAAGGCGCAAAGCTACACAGAGAAACCCTGTCTCGAAAAACCAAAAAAAAAAAAAAAAAAAGAAAGCATGCTACCAACTGAGCCATCTCCTCAGCCAACAATGTGGGTCTTCAAGGATCTAGAACCATCCAGCACAGCTCGGCTTCCATCTCCCGGTGCTTCACTGTTACAGGTAATGCTAAGGCGATTGCTGTGACTTGCTAGTCAAGGTCCCTCCTGTGAGCAGAGCTTACTGGCTGGGGACGGAGCCTGCTGGTGCTGAGGCTGGGGATATCAACACGAGTGCATCGTCCTGCACCAAGCTTGTCATTTGTTAGGAACGGAGAAGAAAGGCTTCTTAACTAGTCACACACACAAAGCTCCAGGCGTAGTCAGAGCCATCAAGGAGGAAGGATCTCCAGTGAGTCTGTGTTCTACCTGGAGAGCCAGCGTGCCTCCCACTATGAGAACCCAGCTGTCCAGAATGAACAGGTACTCTGTCCGTAGACGGGAGACCTTTGCCAGCGGGGGCTGGTTTGTTTGCTCAGTAACTTAGGTCATGTTGATGTGTGAGCAGTGCCTTGCCCCTAGTGGGTGATTAGGATAACTTTGACATAAATGGCTCAGTTAATTAATGGGTATATCCTTGTGGAATACCCACGTCTAGCAGTGAAAGGAAGATACCAGCTCCCACTCACCACAAACTAAAGGACCTCCTCCAAACACACACCGAAGGAATGGCTCGCCCTGTCAAGCCCCAGGACAAAGCTGCCTCCTTGCTTTTCATTGTACAGAGCTAACCACTCGGAGAAAGACCTTGTGACACCCTAGGACAGTGGTTCTCAACCTTCCCAACGCTGAGACCCTGCAATTCAGTTCCTCATGTTGTGTGGGACCCCCAACCATAACGTTATTTTCGTTGCTACTTCAGAGCTACAATTTTGCAACTGTTACGAATCATAATATAAATATCTGTGTTTTCAGATGGTCTTGGGCGATCCCTGTGAAAGGGCCTTTTGATCCCCAAAGGGGTCGCTACCCACAGGTTGAGAACCACTGCCCTAGACCAAGGCTTGAAAGTGAAATACAGTGACGACTCATTCAACTGCATTAACAGAAGCTAAGAGATGGATGCCGGAACCCCAATCCATTTTGAAAATTTCTCTTAGGTCACATTAGGCAGAACCACCTGCATTTACCTACATCTGACAGTTTTTTTTTTTTTTCTTAAAACTATTAAAAGCTCCAAATTCTCTAATCCCTCTGCAGCAACCAAGCCTTTGCCACGATGGTTTGCCAAGACCAGAACTTCAGCTGTTTCTCGGGCCCCCATGTGATCAGGAGAGGAAGTGAGGCGACAACCATGGCGACTGAAAATGGAGGAAGTTGTGAGTTGCTCACCCCAGTACTGGTGGTTGACATTACGGGTCTCCTCACACGCAGAGGACAAAAGTTCTAGTCCCGGCCCAAATCCCAGTTACAAGTCACATGTACAACATGATGCCTGTGCATGCCGCGTGCTCCATCCAATGCAATGATGAGTGTTCTCTTGGTCATTATTAGCTGTGTGGCTTTAGGCAAGTCAGAGGACTCCTCTGAGCCCCAGTTCTGTGGAAAACAGGGACTACATGCATAAAAATGCTTCTAATGTATGGTGGCTCACATGTCTGCATATGTGTCTTCCTCACATGTCTTCCTCCATGGCTCTCCATTCACTAAAACCCCATCTCTTCACTGAATCGAGAGTTTAGCATTTGACTAGCCAAGCTATTGACCCAGAGAGTTCCCCTGCCTCCACTTCACCAGACTTTTATCTAGGTCCTGGAGATCTGAATTCTGGTCTTCGCGCTCATGCAGCAAGTGAATTATCTACTCAGCCATCACCCCAGAACTCTTCGCTTCATTAAATAATAATAATAATAATGACCCTGTAGATCAAATAAAAGCCCTGCCTAAAATGTTCAAATTCAAGGACTGCCTGGTAGGGGAATGATGGAGGTGATGGCTGGAACTTTTGTTTCCTAATTGCTAAGTGAGTTTAATGTGGGTTAATTAATGATGCTATTGGTGAATGGAATTAGCTAATGTAAAACCAAAAACAGCATCAAAGGCACACACAGGCAGGTGCCATCTAGGATAATTGAGGGAACAGAGGCCAGAGCAGAGCTGCTAAGGTTGTGCACCAAGCTGCTGGGCAGGCCAGGGGCCATAAGGGAAAACCAAGTCAGTCTACGGCTGAGCCATTTAAGCAGGGAGGCTGGCTGCCAAAATGCCATCCTGTTTACAGCTCCTGTGTTTGAATTTTAGATTTGCTTGAGTCTTTGAAGCTGGGTTCCTGGGCCTTTCCTTGAGAATAAATTCCATTCTTTAGAAACCACAAAACACACTCCCATAGTCCCAGAAAGGAATGTGAGCTGACCTGGCTTCTGTACGGCCCCTTGGGACCTAAGGGACCTTTTCATTAGAAAAATCCTCCACCGTGAAAAGACTCAATCTGGGCTTGCACCCTATGGATGGGGGTGGGGGTTTGGGAGGGCCAGGTCTGTCTCCACTCTCTGAGCAAATGTGGGGTGGCCTCACAGTGGCAGCACTGAGCCGGGGCGCGAAGATAGGCACTATCTGACAGATCGGCACAAGTACAGATGCTCCCAGAAGACTCAGAAAACAGAAAATGTCATTAGCCTCCCCACTCTCCAATGCACACAGGAGAGTTTCATGGCTGGGCAACAATGGCACACTGCAGACTGTCACTTGTCCCCCTTTCCTACTCTGGAGAGCTGCAGCTGGCCCCCCCTGCTGCTGGCCAGCATCCAGAGACAAGGGTGTATCACTAGCCAGGGAAAGGATACAAATTCAAAACGTGAAGTATAATTTCACCTGAATGCCAGTCATTTCTATACCATCATAAAGAGTCTGCGTGGGATCCTCTGTACACCTCCTCAGCACAAACCAAAATAGACAACAACAAAAACCAACCAACCCACCAAAGATAACGGCCAGAGAGTAGGCATATTATTTCAGCAAAATTCTATTTAGTTTTTCCTTCCAAAGATGTGACCTTCCGGGACACGACCCTTCAACAATGCCATCACAAATTGACAGAGAGGAACAAATGGTAAAGAGGTGTCACACACACCCTGCTGTCAACTCCAGGGCGGGCGCTTACGGTCAGTCAGTCCTTAGGATGTTTCCTAATGTTAAGTCCTTCCAAATCACTCTCTTACTAGTGACTTAGGCTTTAAGTGACTGTGACCTAGAATGTCTGTCATACATCTGAATGTCCCTGTCCTTTTCTATCCTTTATGCCCCTTTGCCTCTTTGATACTTTGAACAAACCTCAGTTTCACGCTGGGTTTGAAAATGTCCCCAAATACCACTTTCAAACAGCAGGGTAGTGGCCCGCGGAGGAATGGGGAAGAATTCGATCCTGTCACACTCTGCTTCTCTCTCCACTGTAATTTCAGTCCTGCGGGTGTGTGTGTGTGTGTGTTCTACTGCCCGTGTCCAGCACCCTGACTGACCAGGACTTCTGCTCCTGCCTTAGCTGCCCCCTGGCGATGTGGATCCAGAGCAACAGAGCAGGCAGACACCAGCAGGAGCCTTACCTGCTGTCCCATCTGCCCTGAGAGCACACATTTCACCCTGCAGGGCAGGAAAATCAAACGCTACCCTGTGCATGAGGCCCATCCACCCCAGAAACCCCGGAACACTTTGGCTGGAAATGAAAACCTCAGATGTCGCCAAGACCTATCCACCATACCCCTCCCTCTCCTCTGACAACATAGGACTATGACATTGGGCCTCGGACTTGGTTGGAACCCCAGACTGAAGAGTTAGTCTCTTAGGACATGGAAACTAGGCTGGGTGGAGGCAGGTGAAGAGCCTAGTCACAGCCTCAGGTGCTGCTTGTCTTCTTCAGAGAGCCAGTCTCGGGAGCCAGCTGGAGAAGCACGTTTTTCCCCCCCACACCCCCACGGAAGGCAGCACGTGTTGTTTTAGTAACGCAACTACTCCAGTCTGCAACACACACCGTTCGGCACTCTCACCAAAGTGCACTCAACAGCAGAATGGGATTTCTGATGTTTTCTTCAAAACAAAGGAACAACCTCAGGTCTGCGAACTGGTAGCACAGACACACACACACACACAGAGAGAGTAATCAGTAACGCTTGTCCCAACGCAACCCAAAAATGACATGCATTTCAAAAATGTACTCGGGATCCTTCCTAGCCAAGGACACCTCGGCTTCATCCGCAGTTGAAGAGTACAGAAGACCAAAAGTGAAAGACCACGGCTTACCTGGTGCCCCAGGGAAGTCAGTTTCTCCTCGCCGCAGAGGATGGGTCTCCGAAGAAGGCGAGCAGGTAAGGGATGCGGGGGCAGGTTTCACAGGTGGCCGGCAGCAGCGTCCTCTCTGCAGCAGGTGCTCCCCAGTCCTGGGGCCAGCCGGGTGGTAGCGACCAGGCTCACCTCTGCCGCCAGCTCCACTAACTTTCTGTGTTGAAGGAGCTCCCGGGAACTTTCTCTTGACTGCTCCGGGTCCTGTCTGCCAGTTTCCTAACAGTCTGGCCGGGAGGCGTCCCCTGGCTGCAAACCCACCCGCGCCACCTAGAGGCCGCGTCAGGCCACGGCAATGCTGGAGCCTGGGCACGCCAGCCTCAGGCTCTGCCGCCAATAGCACCTGGTTCCACAGGACTTCCTGCCCCTTCAGGGACAAGCTGGAATGTGTAAAAAGGATTGATTTTTTTTTTTTTTTGCATGTGTGGGGGTCTTGCGCCTATCAAAACAACTTGGGCCTTTGGGCACAAGAGTGCTGAAAGGTGAAATTTGCATTAAGTTATCATTAATCATAACTTGAGCACAGCCCATTCACCCCCCTCTCCCCAAGATGGTTACAGGTATGGATCCTGTTGTATTCATTCACTCTTCTTCATGCGGCCCAGAATACATTCGTGTATATTTCAACCCCTCCCCCACTACCTTCTCCCACCCACCCCAGGTTTGAGTCACCATCTTCTTCTCAACCTCTTCTCTACCCCCATATGCTCCATGTCATTCCACGTAACCATATAGGCTCCAATAACTTCAGATAAACATATGTACTTCCTGTAACTATAGATGAGAGTACATGCCTCATATAAATAAATACTCTGCCACTCCAGGGAAGTATATATATCTTACAGAACTCTTGGTAGCCATAGGTGTCCCCCACACTTCCAGGTAAGTATATATGCTCTGATAACCTTATATACTCTGTGTGATTAGATAACCAGAAGACATGTGAACTGCATACCTTTCAGTATTGATCAATTCTTTTTAAAAAAATTATTTGGAAAAATGCCCAGCCTTTAAAGATAACAGTCCCGGTCTCTTTCTCCCTCAACGCCATGATCCCTGTGAGTAAAGGAACAGAGATTTCTTTTTCTTCTTCTTCAGTTTTTTGAGAAAGGGTTTCTCTGTGTAGCCCTGGATGTCCTGGAACTCGCTCTGTAGACCAGGCTGGCCTTGAACTCACACAGATCTGCCTGCCTCTGCCTCCTGAGTGCTGAGATTAAAGGCGTGCGCCACCAAGTGTGCTTAGGAGTGGGGACTTCTATGCTCTCCGCTTTCTTCTTGTGCCTCTGCCTTAGATAAAACATGAAGGGGGGTGGGGGGAGTAAGGAGCCCAGTGGAGAAAGAGACAACAGGGTGCAGGGCTGGGACAAGGATCCTGAACTTAATGACTGGTTCTGAGGGGAAACAAAGCGCTTTTGCTTAGCTCCCTGACCAGTGTGGACAGCTCATCTAGACATGGCAGATGCCCCTGAGTGTTCAGGTTTAGCAATCTACGTTTCCCAGACTGAACCGACGATGAGTTTGTGATAAGTGAAAACCCCTGAATTCAAGCAGGAATTGGGAAACCCAGAATGAAGTCCTGGCCTGGTCTTCCCTGTGGCGTATCATCTATCCACTTTTTGGCATACTTTTGAAGTCAGAGATTTAATTTTAGCTGGAACTCTTATTCTCCATTGGACATCAAGTAACACCTTGAAATTTACCGGAGTGAGATGGATCACATTGCCGCTGCCAAAAGACGGGAGGAAGGGAGGGAAATAGGAGTCTGCATGAAGTGATGTGTAATAGAAAGCAAAGAAATGCTGTGTCAGGCTATGGATGGGCCAGTGTGACGTTCCCATGGCCCTTTTATCCAAATCAGAATGTATGTGCGAATTAATTCAATATATTAAGATAATGAATGAAGCAAGAGAAGTTATTGCTTATCTCAATCATTTAGAAACTTTGAAAATTCATCACTTTCTGTTTTGAATATTGCCTGGAAGACTGACATGGAAAAGGCAATAGATTATCATAGTGCTTTTTTTTTTTTTTTAAAATAAGGACACAAGTCAGGTTGCAGACCATGGATGGTCAAATGGGGTCTCTTGGTGCTGTGGGGAATGTGGTATAATTTAGAATGTATGCTTGATATACATAACTAAGCCCAGGATGGCCCGTCCTTTTCAGCACATGGGTGCAGATGTGTGATTGGCTGTGGGGCACAGTGTTGGAGAGATCCCAGTGGTCAGCTCCCTTATACCATCACGTTGTCAGTGGCTTTGGAGATGCAGGGGACATGCTGGTAGAACACACACATCAGCTAGAGGAATGATGATTTATCAGAATTGACCACTTCCGGGAAGTAAAACTGAGCCATATTCAAGGGCTGGGGAGACAGATCCATTGGTAAAGTTCTGGCCTTGCAAGAATGAGAACCTGAGTTCAGATCCCAACTGTCATGTAAAAAGCTGGGCGCTGGGATGTGTCTCTGTGATCCTGGGACTGGGGACACAGAGACAGGCAGGTGGATCTCTGGAGCTCACTGGCCAGGCAGACTAGCCAAATCAGTGCGATCTGGGTTCAGTAAGAGACCCTGCCTCAAAAAATAAGATGGAGACAACTGAGGAAGATATTCAACATTGACCTCTGGCCATCATGCACATGTGTACACACATACATACACCCCCAGCATGCTCTCTCTCTCTCTCTCTCTCTCTCTCTCTCTCTCTCTCTCTCTCTCTCTCTCTCTCTCTCTCACACACACACACACACACACACACACACACAGCACTGAGACACATTCTATGTATGTATATTGTGTGTCTTAATTTCTTATCTCATGTTGAATAAACAGGAAAGAAAGCCCCGACCCTCACAAATTCCACAGACAGCCTTCTGTACAATGTGCCCATTGCTGGAGTCACTTAGCCAGTGCATCCCAAGTACATCTACCTGCCCCGCACTTTACCAGGGGCTCAATGTATCACGACAAGAAAGACAGCCAAGATGGATCAGCCCTCAAGGAGCTTGTCTTGGAGGAGGCAGTGAGTAATCAAGTTATCAAATGAATAGGAAGTGCACTTCCTGTTGGTGGCAGGTGGAGGTAGAGGATGCCTGGGTTGTGAATGAGTGTGTGTGTGTGTGTGTGCACGCACTTAACCCATTGACAACAGTTTCTTACTCTTTAATTACTGTCTGAAAGGAAGCATCAATTACACACAGCAAAACACATATGCTGCCCCCACCCCCTGCTCACCTGCCTTTATTAACATACCTTGGCAATCCAGCTTCTTGTTACCTACAAACAGGGATCATTTCAACAGTATTCTTTCAAAAATGCTGTTGTTCAAACCATGCAGTAGTTGATGAGGGTTGGATAGACTGCTTTTTTTTTTTTTTTTTTTTAAATGTGCAGGGTTGGTGCTTGGAAAGAGTTAGGAAGTTGTTCAAAGTTGTTCAGAATCAAACAATTACAGCCCAGTCTGTGACACAGCATACACCAGCGTCCAGTCTGCCCCAGAACTGGAACATATCTCTGTCCTGGGGGCAGGGAATGAAGAAAGCAGGGTCCTCGGGACACGGCCCTGTTCCTCTGCTCTCCTAAGAAGACATATTTTAGCTCTGTTCCTGGTTTATACACAGGCTCAGCCCTTCTCAGAGAAAGGATTAGCTAATCTTAAAGTGGCACCTCAGACCTGCCTCCACCCTTAGGACAGCTCAGGAGGTGGAAGTGGGGACAGGTCATCTTAGGAACCACATGGTCAAGGACCTTCATTTCCAAACAGATACCTAGAATGCCAGAATTGGGTAGGTGCCAAGCAAGAGCAAGCTTGAGCAGCAAGCAGGAGTGCTAGAGGCTGAGGGCACAGCAGAGGCTATGCTACTATTACAGACAAGGGGTAGCCTATTCTGAGGAGGAGATGGAAGGATCTGGCAGTATGTATGTTCCTGTGTGGAGAGAGGGTTGTTTCAGGCTAACCAAAGCTTGCACAGAGGTCCTGTGTGAAAGGGTCCAGGTGAACTGGAGAAGCTGAGAGAACCTGTGGGGATCACAAGACAGGGAACTGGGTTGAAAGTGAGCTTAGCCTGCTTGGGAAGGGGGATGGAGCCTGGGTACCCCAGGGCACTAGGCAAGGGACTTGGATATTATGCAGAGTATAGGATAGTTTGACAATGATGGAAACTTCTGGAAGTGAAACAGGCTTCTATCCCTGGCAAAGAAAGAACAGGGAGCGACTATGTTTGGAATGTGTTTGCATCTTGGGCCTTTAATTAAGTCTGTACCTGGTGGACCCAGGGAGCTGGAAGGCTGAGTGTACTGTGGATACACTCAGCACAAAATCAAGGGACCACGCCAGGCGGGAAACAGTTGGTCTCCATCTGATGTCTTCATCCCCCTGAAGAATGAGGTTCTGTACTCAGTTGTTTAAGCTTTGCCATGCCAACAGCCTCTTGCTAAGGAAGTAAGTTTGGCTTTCTTCGAGCAGCCTACTTTAGCTCAGGCTGCTGTAACAAAAATACGATAGCCCGTGTGGTTTAAACAGCAAGCGCTTGTTCATCACATTTATGGGGCTGGGGAGGCTGAAGTCTAGGTGCCCAGCAGATCTGGTGTCTGCTAAGGACCCACTTTCTGGTCCATAGATGGCCACCTTTTCTTTTCTTTTCTTTTTCTTTTTCTTTTTTCTTTTTTTTTTTTTTTTTTGGTTTTTCGAGACAGGGTTTCTCTGTGTAGCTTTGCGCTTTTCCTGGAACTCACTTGGTAGTCCAGGCTGGCCTCGAACTCACAGAGATCTGCCTGGCTCTGCCTCCCAAGTGCTGGGATTAAAGGCGTGCGCCACCACCGCCCGGCGTGATGGCCACCTTTTCACTGTAGCTTTATGGAACAGAAGGGCAAGGCAGTGGACTGGGAATCCTTCTTTACAGTCTTATCCCTCTGGGGCTCTGTCCTCATTATCAAATCCTCCCCACAAAGGCCTAACCTCCTAACACTCACTGTAGATATTGCCATTTCAACACATGCAGCGAATGTGCACACGAACAGGCAGACCACAGTCCTTCACTTGTGTAGGATTCCGACCGTGTATACTTCACATCATTTGGATCTGGAAGCCATGTTCCAGACGACTCTATATCCACAGTGTGTCTACAATGACTGCTAAATAAAGTACCA